CATAAGGAAGGAAATCCTCTAAGACGAATAGTCAACAACAAGCATGGATCAATGCATAAATTAGCAAAATTCATTTGCTCAAGAAAGTAAATGACACACTCCTGAATACCGTCAAGAATTCTTATGAATTTTCGCAAAGGATCCAGAACATTTGGTTCATGGGGACGGAACTGTTAGTGAGTTTCGATGTACAATCCATGTACACAAACATCTCAGGCGAGAAGGCGGTAAGCGCCTTGCTGGAGATTTTGGAGCGAGAAGAGGACATTCTGGAGGCCGAACAGATACGGAAGGAGTCGTTAACACGACTAATCAACCTGACAGTTATGACAACATATTTCATATTTAACGGCATTATCTATGAGCAAATATTTGGACTACCGAAGGGATCACCACTCTCGCCTCTTGGCAAATGTATACATGGACAAGGTGGAAAGGGAATTCGAAAAGTCACCACTGCAACCAAGAGTGCTCATGCGATACTTGGATGACTACTTTGCACTTTGGTCACATGGGAAGTCGCGAAATCACCACTGCAACCAAGAGTGCTCATGCGATACTTGGATGACTACTTTGCACTTTGGTCACATGGTCATTAACCAACTTGATGAATGAATTAAATTTACAATGGAGGTTGAGGAAGATGAACGACTATCCTTTCAGGATGTTGAAGTCATACGCTCCAGAGGAACACTCATGAGGAAACTATACAGAAAGAGTTGGTATGCGGGAATAATCCTTAATTTCTAGTCCCATAACTACAGACTGAAGATTGGAATACTGAGGAGTTTGATCATCAGAAGCTTACGCCTAAGAGACAAAGAGTTTTGGGACGAGGAGTTAGACAAACTGACACGGATTTGTCTAAGTAATGGATACATCAGAGGGGCGATTTCAACTTGGATTTTATGAAAATCACATCAGGAATGGAGATAACAACCAAAAGTGGATCGTTTGCCCTCATCAAAACTGAGCCAACAATTGCGACCTTTATTAGTAAAATGGAATATCAAGGTGATAACAACGGAGAAGAAAACACTTTTCACCGGTCTTCCAACACAACACGAGAGGACAGAAAAACTTGAATGTTAGGGAGTTTATCGCATCAAATGCGGAAACTGAGCAAAAGTATATCGGTGAAACAGGACGAAAAATCGGCCTACGAATCAAGGAACACCAAAGACTCTACAGGAACTTGGATAAACAAAGATCAGGAATAGCGGAACACATTGCACCGATGGGGCATGAAATCGACTGATAGGTTGGCTGGATATGGTGAAAATACAAGAAAACGTAAGATCCGAGAGGCCATTGATATACTGACTGAGATTAATCTAATAAACAGAAGACTTGAAGAAGGCAGGATCAGCGAAAACTTTGCATATTGCCTAAACAAACTTTGAGAAGACCAGGCAACAGGAAAATCAGCAAAAAGAACACGACTGGAACAAGGTAATATCCTTAATTTTAGGAAAAGAGATCGCAAGGAGATGAGAAAGGACGAATCAGAAGCAAAGAGGATAGGTCTTCAGTGAGCCTTATTAAAACAAGTAGAATCACGAAATTTGTGGGTTGGAACACAAGTACATAGGAAGCGAAGGACATGGTATTACAGATAGAAACAGGAAAGACGCAGTGGAGACTAGAGCTATTTGGCTCACAATAGACGTGTTTGATCATAAACGTGATCCTGGAATCACGACTATTGTTAGCCAACCAGCCTTAGCTTCCACTGTTTCTATCTCTAATACAAAATCTATGACTTCCTATGCCATAGTCTTTTGTGTACCAACCCAGAAACGTTGTGCTTCAACATTGAACCAAATCAAAACAAGCTGTACCACAACATTTGTGGGTTGACACACAA